ACAACGGTGAGTTTCAAAATTAGGCGTGGGTCGCAATCTACATCGAAACCCCCGCGGTGGTAAACTCATCGGTCTCACCCTCGTCGAAAGTCACTACGGACTAAGTAGCCGATGGATTAGCGATGTTATAAGACGGGAGGGAGAGCGAGAACAACGGCGAACATCATTTCTTTCTGCTTTCTTGTAGCTATCGCGTAATGTCCTCTTAATTTGGATAACTGGTTATCGTAAATATCATCACTGTGACGTTTATTAGTTGCCTATTGCTTCTCTCGAAAAAAAGTACCACACAGTTGAAAAATTTGTGTTAAATTTATCAGGTATCACGTGTCCCAAATGGTCCACACAAATTTTTGTGTTAATTTAACATAATATGGATATATTAAATGATCGCACTAATACTCTGTTATTATTTTAACACAAAATAAATGCAAATCTAAAAATAATTTGAAATAGATTTTGGGTAACATTAACACATTTTTAATGACAAAATAAATTTAAAAAAATGTGAGTTTTACATTTTACAGATGTAATAAATCAAATGACGGCTTGAAATCACTTTCACTATATGTTATATAGAATTAAATCAACTTTTTATTATGTAAATTTTAACAGATAAATCTTGTTACTAATAATATAGAACATATGTATTGTGTGAGATAAAAAAAATCAGTACACATTGTGTTGTTTTACATTGCTTTTCAGTTATTTTAATAATTTTACATTTGAGGTCAATTAACGCAAGAGCAATATATTAAATTAATACACGAATGTGTTAAAAATTTAACACAAAAATTTTAATTGCCATATTTTTTTTAACAAGAAAACACAAATTTTCCAACTGTGCAAGTATTCTTTAAACAACGATGAAAGAGATTCGTTCACTAACAATTTGCTAAAAATTCAAAATTTATGCATTAATATGTTTATATCTATCAATTCTTATATTTTTAATACGTGATATAAATCAGTAATGTATAAAATAATTTATAAAAGTTTAAAAATTTGTTATCAACGACAAAAGCGTAGAGATACAGCAAGTTAATAATCGCTGTTTGTGTGACGAAGGGAAGAGCTCTTAGATCGGTGAAGATCGGAGATTGGTGACGCAAGAAGCGCAGGTCATCGCGGGCAGTATATCTAATTACTCGTGGCGTTACGTCAATGTTTACGTGATTTACAGCAAAATTGTAGCGATGACCTTCGGTGTAGAGGTGGACGGGGAGAGTTCGCGAGGAGAGCGAGATGGAGCGGAGAACCTTTGAACGAGAACGGCTCACGGTTAAAAACTCGAAAGGATTCGGTCATTTATCACGGCAGGCCGCCCGCGGGAATGGAAAGGGGAACGGGATACAATCCGCCGGACAGACTAATCGCGGACTAACTATCCACATATTATCCACAATAATTCCACGTTACCGGGAGGTAGGGTGGCCCCGACAACCCCCGATCGTTGTTGCGTATCGGGACTGACCGGCGATGGAACGCTTCGTCACGTTTCGCTCCTTGACTCGAGCAAGTTTTGTCACGCCCGGAGACGTGTCCTGACCTTACCGTGTAAAAGATGGTAATAAAATGGTAATAAAATGGAAGAGACTGCGTACTGTCGGATAACCAGCGTGCGTGCGTAATTATTCCGGCACGATATCTTTAAAGATCATCTTTAAACCTGAAACGCGCGGAAATAAATAGACAAAAAAAAATTTTTTTCAGAAAGCACGCGCATTTACTTACATCCTGCAGAAACGATACTTAAACTATTTCTTTTTTCATAAACAAAACAAACAAAAACTACCACTATCGATGGGAACATTAATTAATACACTTATACTTTTTATCAGTTTTAGTTAAACGATTTTATATTCTATTAATTAATTTAAGAGTTAAACTTTCGCGTCTTGTTTTTCTCGTAATTGATTTTGTTGCTCGGAAATCAGCTGGAGGAACGCGCGTTAGTTGTCGACATGCGCCGTAACTCGCGCGGAGAGTATTTTTACGCTCGCGGTACGCGCGCGCGCGCGCGGCCGCTCGCGTAAATATACCGGACGGTCAGCCACAATTTTGAGGTTTGTCGCGCGTAAATAAAGTGAGCTCGACCGTGGAAATTAATTAGTGTACCAAAGGGCAAAATATAGGGAAAATTGGGAACACTCACTTTGCGATTTAATTGGGTATTCATTTAACCATGCCTACGCCACGTATAAGATTTGCATAATAGCGGCCGGCACTAATTAGCACGCCGGCGAGCAGATGTAAAGCAATTTATTAAATAACTATGTAATTCGCGGCGCGAATTGCGGAATTATAAGTTTTTGTTTTCTCCCCTCCCACCTACCTCCCCCGTGATTTCGCATCGCGTAATTTATTCACGCAAGTACGAACATTTAGCAATTATCCCGAATTTTCGCTCGTAAATTTGAGATAAGCGAGATTGTAACGGGCGTTTTTTTTCAGCTTTCACGAGTTCCAAAACACGGTTCATTAATAATAGAATCAAAGATGTGACACTACGGTGCTTTTGAAGCGAGCAACCCGCTCGTTTTATTCTTCGAAACGCAATTCATATCGCTGCAAATAATAATGAATGAGTTATCGTAGGAATCGCAGTCGCGGACATAATAATTTAATATTATTAAAGCTTATTTTTCGCGAGCCTCGAAGCCGCGATAAAAGGCCGTCGCGTCCACTTACAGGCCCGTGGTTACGCCGGACGACAATTGGGACATATGGAGGGTCATTGAGGGAGTACGTGTTAGGGCCACATATAAAACGCCTTCAAATTATAGAGTAGGCCAAGGTCCATCCATCACAACTGGGGCCATGGGACTTACAGTCCCAGTGCGCCGCCCCAACGTTTAGGTCGTTAGCAATTTCCTGCACGGGACTGTTTCCAAGCCTAAATTCCATATGGCCCGATAATGCCCGATAATGCCGCCGATCAGAAGGCCGACGCGATTTCTGACTTTCCTCAACAATGTGACGACGAATAAACCTCGAAAATAATGTCGGGTTTTTTAGCGAACTATTAAGCTATAACTTGATTTCTTCTCCCTCTTGTTAATATCGCAAAGGTTAACAGCTAACAATAAGAGGGAGGGTCTTCCTTTACAAAATAGTAATCCAATTTGAATACTTCATATTGATAGTTGAATGCGATATAAATACAAATGGTTAATTATCTTCTAATGAATTGGCAGTCAATTCTTTGACTATGACCACGCCTTATAATAAAAAATTTAGCCCAAAGTGTGCAACTTTAGTTTGGCACAAGCATATTTTGCAAACTTAGCGTGAAATTCTCAAACATTTAAATACAATCTTTCATCTTTATCAACGTGAAATATGACGGGACATACGTTGTTGTTCGTCAACACCTTGCATCAGATGGCAATAGCGTACAGACCGTGTATTAAAGCACTTTACTCTCATGGTAATGCACTAGTAATATCATGTCCATTTACGAGGTGCTGTTAAAGACACGATGCTGTAGGTAAGCCACCATGTTCAGCGGGTAAGCTTCGGTAGTCTCGAGAATAACGGAAGAGACGTGACCGATCATAGATGGCTCGAAACTGACTTGAAAAAAAAAAAACAAGTATTTTTAACAAGTAAAATAGAAAAATGTAAATATTTTCTACATGTATCGTTTTGAAATTTAAGAAGTGAAGCTGCTTTTTGAATATTAAGAATCATTATTTAAAGAATAATAAATTTCATCTCTTAATAAACTTGGTCAATCTTACTATTATTCCGCTATTTGATGAAAATTGAGATGTTATGATTAATTCTGTTTCACATATGTATATATTTATGATACATTGAACTTATTCGATAAATCGAAAAATATACATAATAGCAAACATATATTACTTTTTTCTGTTTAAGTTACTTTTCAACTTAGGAAAATTCACTAGATAGAATAGTTTCTAACGAGAGAAGTTTGATAACAAATTTAAAATAAAACAAATTAGTTGGTTCTTCGTAGACACTGAGTATCTTGGAACATTATTAAAAATATAAATGTTTTTTTAGTCTTATACATATATTGAATAATTCTTCAATTTATTTATCGCAGATCTACAGTAATTATTAAGTCAGTACCAAACTTATTTTACTATTCGCTTTCTCGAGATTCGTACCTCAAAAACTTTGGTCGAAGCCACTCAAACGTAGGTTTTTAAAGTACAAATACAAATAGTGTATCCGCTTAATAAATCAAAATGTCTAAATATATTATATTAGAAAAAATGCCCAGCTAATAAATCATTTGTATACTCAATGCATTTGGTTAATCGTTACTTCGCTTTGCATTGTGCTGCATTTATGTGATTTTTCAAATAAAATATTAAACTATATTTGATAATTGAAGTTTAACGATCGATACGTAATACACGATATCAAAATCAATAAATTATACATGTATGTGACAGTGTGTGATAAGTAATTGTGTGACTTGGATGCTTTATTCCGGATGAAATTAACAATAATGTAATTAATAATCAATTAATGATTGAGGTATTAATGATTTCTTATCATATACGTTCAATAATGCTGTATTTCTTTATATTAAACTTAACAATTTATAATGACAATCAGGATATCCCGTGATAACACTTGGCAATCGATATCAAATATTTATCAAAATTAAATATCTATTTGTAAATATAAACCCTGCAGTATTTCGAGTTTATTAAGAGATAATTCTTTTTTTCTTTAAAAAAATCGTCTTTAAATATTTAATAAACGCAGCGGTAAAATTAAATTCTATCGCGTCCTTTGAAATTTCTTAAGTACAACTCTTGCCTTTTTTAAATTATCGTTTCTAAATCATGTATTTACGTCCACGTGTTCATTGTCTGAATGTCATTTAAATATTACATGCCTCACAATTGCATCTGCAGACTTATAACTTTGATAACATTGCGACTATGTTGTCCCTCGAGAAGTAAATCTAGAATTAATTTTTATTCTTAATGTAAATGGTTGTATTCCTCAACGTGTTAATTGTCGCTTTGGAGCTCGCTGGATCCTGTCGCATCTGGCGCTTTCTGCAGCTGCGCGCTTTGGAATCTTCCGTAGCCGACGCTCGACTCGCCGAAGATCTTTCGTCCGGGGATCCTCTCGTCATCCTTGATGCTGACTTCCGTGCCGATTTGCACCGGCCAGGGCAGCTTGCCCGGCTCGTCCCTAATCGCTATGAGATTGCTCACTTTCCGCTCGTTATTCGCGCCTCCGAATCTGTCGTTCCTCAAGTCCTCCTTGGTCGACACTCTGACCCGCCGTGAATCGTCTTCGGGATATTCGTACAGACGATCGTAATAGCTCGACCTCTTGGCGTAGGGATCGTAACCGCCGTACGATTGTCTGTACCGATACTTACCCGGATCGACGTTGCCGGGTATGCGTTTATAGGTGCCATCCCGCGTGGCCGGTGTTTTGACCACACCCGCGTCGTACCGCGGATAGTTCCTCAGGTCCACCGGTTTCCTCACGATTTCCGGCAGGGTAGCGTAGTAGACGAGTCGACGCTTCGGCGCGGGCCGGCCTCTGTACAAATCGAGATCGTCGTCCCTGTAACGATCGTAACGATCGTAATACAAGTCGCTCGGCGACCGCGTGTAATAATCTCTCTCCATCCTGTAGCGATCGGGATATTGGTAGCTGTATCCACGGCGATACAACGGATATTCGTAATCCCTCTCGCGTATCGCGTTCCTGTACCAGGACATTTGATCGTAGTCGTCGTAGCTCTTGGTGACCGGCATGTCTCTGGACTCGCGATAGTCCGGGTACCGTCGATGATGGCCCGTCACGAAGTCCGCCCGTGGCGCCTGATGCCTGCGGTATATGTTGGATAGCGCCGCAGCCTCTTCCTCCTCCTGTTGCTGCTGGATCACCTGATCTAAGGGGATACGATGACGAAACTCCACTGAGATAGGCTGCGCTGCGGTCGACCATGTTTCAGGGGTGAGACGAGCCTCGCGCACGTTCTTCGTCGTCGAGATCTTCTCCATACTCGTCTCGTTATCCGCTTGCCTACGAATACGTTGCACGAGTCCGCTCGTAGCTTGCTCGCTGTCGTCGTCGTCGTCGTCGTTGTCGTTGTCCTCCTTGTCCGCAGGCAGAATTCTCATCATGAGCGTTTTCTGGAAAATCCTTTGTACAGGTACAGCGCTTTCGATAACGTCGTCTTCAACCTCGTCATTGCCGTACGGTGAGTCTTCCAAGAGTTTCCGGAAATGCTCGAGATTCTTATTCTCGCGAAGGACCTCCTCGGCTCCCTCCGGAAGGGCGTTTGGCTCGACGAGACCCGGTGTAGTGAGTTCCGGATGCTTTTCAACGTTGCGAGATTCGTCAAACGGAGCCAAACGACCTACTCCGCTTACGGTGCGAACCTCGAATGCCGAGGAGTCTGATCGCGATCGAAACGGATGATCCGTGTAGACCGTTTTCACATGTGGCGTAACTTGCCAAGCTTCCCCAATGCCAGCCGCGTTAACTCCAGCCAGCAAGAGCAGCGGAAACATCGCCGGCAGATACGGCATTGTAGTCTAAACATTCAATGATCGTATATTTTATTCGTAACAAAATTGTGGTACAGATTAAAATTAAAATTTACTCTTTTATAACATTTTTTTAGGAGGTAAAATATTATAATAATGTAATATTTGTGAAAATTGACAATCACAATCAGTTGTCTATATATTTTTATTAATTATCATGTTTATTATACATTAGTAAACTCTACGTTATGAAAGTAAAATATTCAGAATGTAAGATTTCGTTCCCGCGTTGGATTTTGATTGTTTTATAAATGGTATGCTAAATTATTCTTAATTATAATTAAACATAACACGAGCATAATGTTTTCGAGTAAAAATATCGTAATTTTCGCTACAATATTAATATATTTCAGGACAATAAAAACTTAATAATTTTACTAGAATACATGTCATCCGCTCATTACTCGCACTCCGAGATAACGAATCTCGAGGTATTATAAAATTGTCGTTTTTTTTATCGACATTCTTGACCTAAATATTATATATTTTTCATTACCGTATCACGAAGATTTCGCGTAGATTTATTTATTTACCAAAATACTAAGGAACAGATGCAGAAGTTGAAGTAATAAATTAATACAAAGTGCTAATTAGGAGGACGCTTGACCGATTTAGTGCGATCAGATTAAACTTTTATACGTTCCTTTTCTACGAATGAAGCCGACATTCGCGTATCGGTCTGATTGTTCGCGTCCACTTCGAACCGTGAATGTCATCGGCAACTTTCCACCGAAACGCGTTGGATCTAGTAAAAAAAAGGCCGGCGATACACATTCAATGACCGTTTCGTCCGGTCGCCGCGCGGTCAAAGATCGCATCGAATCGTCCTCCAATGTAGACACGACCGATTCTCCATGACAAATATAATTTCCCAGGCCGTTTCCGCGGCATTATACCGAGTTCCGGCCGACTCGCATAGATCCGCCCGGACGATTGTTCGCCCGAGCACGCTTACCGCAGCTCGAAATCGCGTCAGATTTCCGTCGACGAAAGTTCAATGCTTCACGCTATCGCGTTCGAAATTGCAGTAACAAAAGAAATTGCACGCGTGGCGTTCCAGATATCATTTTTCCTTCAACGTTTTACTTTTACTATTTTTTTATTTAAAAAAAATTTTTTTACAGAAATTAATTATTTGCCTTTTCAAAATAATGTAATATCCGATAGATTCGGACTTGATCCGCACGAATAATCTCAGAGACATTAACGCATGGGGCCCCGAGATCTGTAAAAGTAACGTGACTTCGTGATCGCGAACGAAGAACGTGCGTTACTGTTTCACGGGACAGGGTTTTATTGGCGTTGACAGTTTCCGGTTACGTGTCGAGTCATTCTTCCACAGTTATAGGCACGCTCGTTACATTGCGAGCATTGGTAACAAACGACCGTCGTCTCGAGCGGGAGGTCGGTATCTTCAGCGATTATAGCGGAACAAATCTTCAACGCAGGATGACGATCTTGCGCCGTTATCGCGGCGCGGCGTCGCACAGTTATGCTCGCGGTTTACAGTTAGACACCGACGAGACTGTCTCGCAATTAAAGATCTTCTGTTAATTGGTCACGCGACGAGGCAGGACACCGAATCGCTACGAAATTGGACGTTGACGTTGACCGCGACGGAAATTGGAACGTGGAGAACGAGCATAGCGGGAAACTCACTTCTTTAACGGCCTGGCTAATACATTCGAGAAAGGAGCGACGGAGGAAGACAGATTTCAGGCACTTGAGAAATAAGTTTGGAAACTTTGTCTCCCCAGTCCAGAAAATAACACACATTGACGTGCATTGCGTGCATGTAGTATGTGTATTTTAGTTTAAAATTTTAATATTTCGAGTTTATTGTATTTCTTTCCAGTACCACTTTGAAAAACAGGGTAAAATTTATTCAACTATAAAATATATATTAATTATGTAAAAGTACAATATTAATACGATAAGAAATTGTATAATTAAGTAAAAGTAAATTTGTGAACAGCTTGAATTTAAATTTATTTTATAAATTTTTTAATTTGGTAATAAAACAGTCATTATTAATGCATTAGTTCTTAAATGACAAATGAAATAATTGGTTTTATCTGTGTGAAATGCAAATACCAAATGTACTTGCGCATTATTCATTTGATATCAACGCGAAAAGTAGATTTTAGTATTAAATTGAGACTGACGATACGTGTAGTAATTATGAATTACTCCAAATTATAGCTACATCTCCGTTACGCAAAGGATAAATAAGGTTCGATATAATTATCGATTTGTGCAAAAATTCCAAACCTTTATATTAAGTGCAGTTCACTCTTTAATTATTTTGCCAGTATACAAATGCGCGATAATTATTTTCTCTACGTTGCAACGTGATTAAATACTTCGTCGCATTTTAATTCACTCAATTCCCGTATATATGATTTTAATTGGCATATGCGTCTGCCTCTTTTGTTTAATATGCCTGGACAATAATCTGGAATTCATTATGTTTATAAAAATTTATTGCACCAAAGTTGTACCGCAATGTTTAACACGATGCTATAATGGCGTTTTAAAAATTCAAAAGTCCTTGTAATTGACGCAGCGTGCATTGTGCAGCACCTAATTTTCAAAATTTGCGATATAGTAAAATTTTTTTCCGACGAGGAGATACAGGACACGCGATACGCGTTACCAAGATTCTTATGGAGCGCGCGAGTCACGGAGATCGTGCAGCGTTTTTTTTTTGTTTTTAATTCAAGCGAAAAGGAAGCAATTGTACGGTAACAAATTAAACGGTGATAAAATGCCAATGCGGCGTTTGTTTATTATTTAGATCACGCGAAGGGAGAATGCATTAATTTGAAATCACGTACGCGAAAGGCCGAGGGAAATGTTAGTGTAAATTTGGATATAAATGATGTACCTGTTATCCACCTGTGGGTCTCGCGGATGTCGTTGACTGTTCGGAGTGACTGTGATTACTACCGCACAGCAGTCCACAGGCGGTCGGTTTACCCGGGCTCCATATCTGCATACCGTTCAGTTTGTCGCAGGTGAAACATCGCCCACCCCTCTACCACGGAGTCAACTACCGTTCACAATTGCTCGTCGTTTTTAACCGTAAGGCCTGCGCCGAATGATAAACAGTCGCGCCGGCCAACGAAGCAGTGCAATAACCGAAAATGAAATAGAACGCGGACCGTTATTGCCAAAATACCTGAATTCTCAATTTATCGCCGAATGTTATAGGCACACAGATATGCATGTAGATACGGGACGATGCTAAATTGAGCTGGCAAACATCGCAAATCTTGTTAATTTGGAGGCGGTTTTTTACGGCGGAAATGTGCCTGCGTAAATGAATTTTTTAATTAATAGGCAAATAATATCGAAACTTTATTTCTTACTTATTTGTTCTTCATTAATTTTAGTAAAATTTTAATTTATAATTTAGTTAGCTTCGTTAAAATCGCCTCAACGCAAAACTTTGCGAAACCGTCGGTGGTAAAGTCTTTATTGAATTTGATAGCCTATAATAGTATTTCTTCATTAACACAGATAAATTGTGGAAACCTGTGAGTAAATCTCTATAGACATAAAAATCTTTTTATTGCGTTTTATAATAGTCTTTTTATTATTACATATCTCATAACGTTCCTCTACGAAGTGCTGTCATCTAGCGAACACTATAGCAGGAAAGGGAGAAAAGAATCGATGACGAAGTTTAGAAAATTGTAAAATAGTATTTCTTTTTTATGTAGACGTATATAAAACTACGAATTGTACAATTTTTTGTATATATTATAATATACAGTCCCCTAATTCATGTGCTCCTTCCACATTTCTCCACGAAGTGTTGTCATCTAGCGGAGAGCAGAGGAGAAAAGAGAGAAAGGAGTCGATAAAGAATAAGTCGGCAAAGTATCAGCGGAACGAAATCGGTAAAAAAAAACGGTGGTGATTAATTAAAATTTCAAGATCCGCGATTCTAAGGACGCCTAGAATTTTGTCTGAGAGTTGAAAACTCTAAACTCTTTAAAGTGAGAGGAATAGCGGGAGAATATAATTAGCTGTGAGGTGACGGGCAAGAGTCGAGACTCCAGGCGTTGCGATTCCGAAAGTTTCGTTTATTAGATATTTTCCCTCGCGCCGTTTGCAGCGCGAGTAAGACTGCGCGCTTCAAAAAGGAGCGGAATAACTTACCTGTTTCCACAACTCAGCCTCGATCTTAATGATACAAGTTACAAACGCTGCAATACGGGCGAATCGTATTTCCAAAGAGATAGAAAAGTAAATCGGTCATTGGTTTTTGGCCGCATTTCTCGCGAGACGCAAGCGCTTCTCCATCTCTCGACGTTTTTCCCCTCTTAATGGTTTTACGCGATTTCACGATACACAACAGACGACATACACGACATCCGATATCCACTAGGAGGATATGTTGAATGTTTTGCGAATCTTCCATTATCGCCTAGATACGAGAATAACTCCGTCATATCGATGGGCGTAAAGTCGCTTATTAAAGTACTTCGCAAGGAGGAAAATAGATGTTACGTGAACCCCGTAAAATTTCTTCTATTATCTCGTAATCTTCTTACTTTTATTGCATATTTAAAAAAAACCTAAAGTTGTTGACTGATGAGACTGTTGAGTCGAGGACACTTTCAGAATTCGAGTTCAATCATTAATTGAAGAAATAGCAAACTTGTTACGCGTAGTGTCAAGGGGTCAGCAGGGCGGTGAAATCTTTGTAACGAGCATCTCTAGTATAGTTGAATAACCGCGGAAAGCGTCGTAATGCCCCGCGATGCTACGATGCCTTGCAGTAATTAGGCGTCGCTTGAAGGGATGAACGTGCCAAGAACCGCGGAATTCCTTTCCCTTTGGCATGTCGTTAAAAACTAGTTCTAATTAGAGACTGTTTGCTAATTGCTTATTGTAAGACAACATTTTTACTTATTGCATGTTTTTTATTAATTACTATCTTAATCATTGAAATGGCGCGTTACTGAAATGCTCTGGAAGAAATCAATGTTACGACGCCAAACTGAAAAGTTAAACGTTCGTGTACTAAATAAAGATTATTACGGCCCAAATTGTAAGACATGAATTTGTTATATTATGTAAAGGGGATGGAAAAAGGGAAAGATTCGAAGGCGGCTTAAAAGACGTAATATATTTTTATTTAGACATTAATGATCCATAAAACATTGTTTATATATGGGGCTATAAACAAATAACTCTCGTTGCTACCATCTAGTCGTGTAATAAATATCTTGTTTTACAGAGAAAAAAACGCAGGAAGAGAAGCGCGTCAGGCCTCGATAAAAGCTCGACCGATTTTTTTCCGGCTGTCGATGATATCTTTATTTTCTCGCGATTGCGTTGTATTTACGAATTGTGCAGGCTGCGTAAAAAATGATATACCTAGATTATTAGATCTTTGATATGCATAAATTACGGGAACTGTGTCAATGGCAAGTCACAACGGTGAAATATTAAAGACAATAAACTGATTGAAAATGAAATATGTTACAATCCCCTAAGAAGAAGAGATCATTTATTCCACATTCGTATGCGCATGTGAGTGTTTTGATTTATACTCATGTTTCTAAATCAAGAATTACGTAAATATTAAATAACATTCAAGGTGAAATGTAACATATAATAAAGTTCGCAAATATATAGACTGCTAAATATATATTTGTAAATTTATCATATTTTATAGACACTTAAACTGTTGCATTAAAATAATTATGTAAATTATGTAAAATTATCTGTATATAGATATATATAGAATTATATATTTATATGGATAGACTATACGGGTTTATGTATCTATAAGTGAAGTTAATCAAGATACATAATATTATAGAATTGGTAGTAACATATAATTTGTATAACAGCCGCCAACAGAGCCTCCTCTCTTCTCGCTTTCTCTATGCTACGTTTCCTTCTTAAAATAGATAACAATGATTTAAATCGTGTAATATGATTGATTAAGAATCTCAAAATGAAAGTAAATCGGAACGGAGCAGAGAAATGGACTTGCCGTTTTAATGATTGAAGTTTAAATTCGTATTGTAATTCAGTTATTAGTTTGCCATCGACATCACATTGTTTATTGGGAGATATGTTTTTCATAAATAATTAAATTGGCATTCTATATTTTTAACCTACACGCGTGTGCGATCGCTATGAAAGGAAGGTACAAGAGGTTTCTTTATTTTCTTAACAAACAACTTTGCCAATATCCAAGGATTATTTATATCTGATATTAATAATGATATAATATTTGTTGAAGAAATTAATCAATTCTTGCTGGAAATAAATAATTTTTAGGATTTCTAGAGATATTAAATCCATTGACGATTTGTTTTGGCTAATATGTTGTCCACCAATATTCTTATCTTCAATATTTTTGCCACCGAAATGACAAAAGCACTTGATTTTATATAGTTGAATAATAATAAACTTATATTGTATACAATCTTTTAAATATAAAATTATTTGTGATTTACAATTGAGTTATGTGGATTTAAAATCTCGTGGTTGATAAATTTTAGACATTTAGAAGCAGTTGTCAGTAATAACAGACAAATACGATATTTGATCATAAAAAATTTTTAAGCCTCAAATCTAAAGCTTTAATAACTCAATGCTCCCAGAATAAATAAATACAATGTTTTGAAGCTCTTACACAGAAGCTGTGAAGTTTTAACAGATATAAAACATTTTTTATTAAATATAAAAGTTAGAAATTTTAACATTAATAATCCAGAATAATATAAGAAATTCAAATATCAGATCTGAATATTCTAGTATTTAAAAAGAGTTAACGTAGTTTCGACAAATAAAAAGTCTACAGTTTAATGAGGAGAACGAGTACGTAAAAATTTCAGCGTCCACAATTTAATTTATATTTTTCCAAAAATAACCTCTAATATAAATAATTAAATTCATTCCGATTTTCTATAATATTTTGCTTCCATTTGGATTAGCTTTCAATTGAAGTTTAAAGCGGAATTGCAAGTGCGTAAAAATTCCAGAACAGAACTGATATTTTTTTTTTCTTTTGGGAAGATGATCGATATCCGATCAGCCGGCATAGACCACGGGATCTAACGATCCTGAATATAATTTGTTAGGCAATTAAGCTATATACAAACGGGTGCGTTATCCTTAAAGGAGATCGATATGTCTCGTTGGTTGGCCGGGGAAGACCGTTCCGATGAATTCTCTTTTTATCGTTTCTTTTAATTTTTTTTTCTCATTTATTCCTTCGCCGATAATGAACCATTGGTCAAGGCCATCACCGTTCCAGAAGTTGTCCTCGAGTTCGCGTCAGAATTCAGCTCCAAGGACGAGTCCTGTAACAAGAGAATTATGCAAAAATAATTTCAATAATGGCATAGAGAGCGCGCACATATTTTGAAAGTTACGATTGTATCCGTGTTTAGATTATGAAGACGTCGAGGTTTTACGTATTAGAGAAATTTCGACTGTGACTTATTCGTGGTCGTTAGCGAAAATCGGGACGGTAAGATTTATCGTGCATAAAGAAAAAACAGATATCGCGACGACATCGTCGGCATTGTCGTGGTCGTTGGCGCCGACAACGTCGATTTACGACGCTCTTGTTAATATGCACCCAAGAAGAACGATTCTCTATCGTGGATGACTGCTTTTAACTGCTGCGTGGCGAGAGCGACGTCTGTCATTAGTGCCACTATGCTGGTTCTCTTACGATCTTTACGCTCTTTACGGTCCCTGCGACACGTGGTACAAGTCGGTATTTCTGTCGTCGCGTCGTTTCTACGCATCTTGACAGAGAATCGCGTGTCCGTCTCTTATCTCCTACCTCTTAAGTCACGGATTTCTTACTTTTTATCCATGTTACGACGGAATGAATAAACAGATATCAAAGGGAGAGAAACAGTAGGTACTAAACAATGATGTGATTTCGAAAACATATTATAATAATTAGGAGATGTTCTCTCCGATTAATATACTTTGAAAATATTCGATGCAAAATGCAATTTCTTCGCATAAACCTCCTTCGGCACTGGAACATACAAAAGCTACTTGTTTCCCATCGCTCTCGCGACTATGAATAATTTTTTCATATCCGCGCTTAATGCCCGTTGTTTCTCGGATGCGAACTAGAAGAGGACTGAAGACTTACAATGCTGAGAGTATGCATGATGCACGCCTGCGTGGTGTTCTCGACGTGGATCAATTCGTCGCAGTCCTCGTGATCCAACCCGTTAACGTCAGATCGAATCTTGATCGGCGACAGAGCCGCTTCGTTGTCCGTTGACTTGCCACTGTCGGGGGACGGTATTAACTCGTGTCCATCAAGTTCCTCCTCCTCCACGCGCTCTTCGCAATCCGTAGCCTTGATTTCCTGTCATAGATTCCATAGATCAATACCGTTACGCGAGATTATCGCAGACGGGAAACTGATTAACGAAGGTATCTGCGTTGGAATCATTTAACCTTGCAATGAAAGCTGCGTATGGTCGTGACAGGAAATCGCAGCAACGTTGCACGTTGCTGCGGGCGCTCACTTGTTAATAAGCGACATGTGCTGCGATTAACATTTAGCGACTGTAATTTCTGAAGAACTTTCTCAGTTCTAACATTTAGCACCTCGTATGTATTTCAAATAGCGGCACATTCGTTAGAAAGACCCGATCCAATTGACAGACGTACATCCGGATTAGATTTTGATTACTTATCGAATACCGGTGCAATTTCATACGTCCTCTATGTTCTCTTTCGGACAAGCCAACCTTTTTACCTCGATATAACACATTTTTCAATAACGTTGCTACAGCTGATACGTTGAGGATGAAAAAAATCATTAAGTAAAAAATCCTTTATTCCACACGAGACTATTAGAGTGGATCCTAGGAACGAATAGTTTCTGCGATATTTAACATCAAAAAGTACAATTTTCGGTTTTGCTATCTGTCGATGGGAAAACTGTTAAGGGGAGAGATGGTGAGCGAATGGCGGGAAAATGCCATCACCCGAGGGGGCGCGGAAAAATATTACTTCGTCATATGTTTCTCTGTCGATACGTCAACCCCAGAGTTAGCCTCGATGGAATCGACGTGTTTCGCGTCGGTCACTGGGGTTGCTTTTGCCGAGTGCAAGCGCGCCCCTTCCCTCCTCCCCTCCGTCCCCCCCGTCCCTTGCTCCGGTTCTATACAACTTCGTGAAAATCGTGCACGTCAAGCGTTGTCGAGAAGACTGTCTGCATCGTCGTCCACGGATATATCTCGTGTCTCAGACGACGCGTATCGTCGCGATGCCTCTTTGTTGCCCTCCTCGGATCTCCTCGCGACGACGCTCCGATAAATGTGACGGAAGGCTACGTCTCGTTTCGCAGAAACGGAAAGAGAGAAGGAGACGGAGTTGAAATGAGCTGCGCGCGACAAAACTGCTCCTTTTTATAACAATTGAGTTTCGATACTGGCGACCTACTTACTGCATATAGAATATAGATCTGCGTAAGAGCAGGTTGTTCCAACCTCTTGGTAAGTTAACTAATAGTTGAATCATATGTATGACTTTGTTTTTCCTTTAAATTGAAAACAGATGCAATTTAATTATTAGTTAGCTTACCAAGGAGTTGAAAAAACCAGCCCTTAGTCGAGCAAATCGAGTCACAATTAAGAAAATACCGGGAGTAAATTCAAGATACGCTTTTAAAAGCTGGATATTTTTTACGATCTAAGGTAAAGAATCCCGAAAGTGCGGACGTCTATTTATTACGTTTGGGAGTTCGCGAGAGGGTAAAAAAATATATAGATACAAAATATCTCGTATGAGAAAAAAATAAACTTACTGAGCATGGCTCACCGGTGAGAATTGCATTATCGATAACATAATATCAATACTACAGCCGGAGTAATTTAATCGTTGGCTGGTAATGAAACGCAAATTAATTAATGAAAGTGAGAGAATATTACTTATTTAAATGATCGGCTGTCGCGTCGCCAGGCCGGATAATTAGATATATCTACGGGCCAGTCAAATATTTCCGTTAATCTCCTATTTTAATTACACGAAAAATGCATGAACGACGAGAAAACAATTCCGGATATTCGTTAATTAGTTGTTGCGACAAATACATAAAATATGATCTGAGAGGAAGGAAACTTGTAAGTCGATATGTACATATATGTGTGTGCGGGTATTTGTCGATCAATTAAAATATATGTCACAGTATATTAAATTGTTAAATTTGTTAAATTTTTAAATTAAATTAAAATTAAATTTAAAAAATTGTTAAATAAATAATGCAATTGTTAAAGGATTCCACTGTAAGCACTAGACAATAATCTAATTACAAGTAATAAAGGATAAAATGGACATTCAGTGATTAAAGTGTAAAGTGTCCTTTATTTTGAATCACTTTGCCTCGAGGGTGAACTCCGAGCTCCCCTTTTAGTCGTTCATTCTACCCTCCACCGTTCTCGAGGCAGAAACTATTAATTCTTCAGTTCAGGCTGCGCAATTTTGTAAAATATTGCTGCATGACGTCGGTGTAAATAATAAATCTTAGACGGGAGACGTAAGAGGAGTGAGAATTAACCTGGAAATCCTGCGGGGAGGGTGACGACTCCTTCGGCTGGTCAAGGCTAGGGCTCCGTGACGGGCTCGGCGCTCTTGTGCCCAGCTCGTAAATGTTGATCATGTGAGCTGCCTGGGCATGGACCATCAATTCCCAAGCACTTGGAAAGGATAACTTGCAGAGGACGCAGAGCAACGCTGTCGTCGAGTCTCCTGTTTGAGCGGAGATGTTAATAAATAAGTTGAAGACACGGCAGCGATGTCACACAGCGAGCCACAGCGAGGGCAAAATAAGACAAAATTTAGAAACTGCTCTCTCGAAACAATATCGCGTGCAACAGATAAATATAGATCAATGTTAGATTACTCGATAAACTCTAACACAAGTTCTGAAACGAGAACGTAATGCATCTTTTAGTGTCGTCAATCTAAATTGTTTTCCATGCATAGCAAAAATTTTCTCCATTTAAATGGAATTTGGAACGAAACGGCCGATATTTTATTAACTTTGTCTCATCTTGTCCTTTTTTGGTTCAACAACTTAATTCGAGCCGCCGTAAGGAAAATGGAATTTGTACAATATAACACACAGGTTTTTCTTTTTAAATAGTATTGGAATGTCTAAAATTATCTCATTTACAATAATACGCGATGCAACGCGCTCATTTAATACATTTTGAACGGAATATGATGTACAGGATTTTATGCGGTACTCATCTTGTTTGGGTAATTTAATTCGCCGTGCAAAAAGGCATGAATTTGTCATCAATTACGTCAGCCAAATTAATACCAAATGTAATGAATGTAAGTAATCTGTTTTAATTTAAATAGGAGTATAAGTTTGATTGAACAACGCAACGACCTTGCAAAAAATTGTCAAACTGCGTTAATTATGATCGACGAAGATTAACCGCCGATTAAAATGATGGGCGATGGGCAATTATTAATTCTGGATCTTCCGGTGGGACTTGGAGCGCGTTTACGTACCGGAAGGAGGCGCCTCGAAGTTTATTTCGAGTACATACTTGGGGCGGCTCCGTTGAAGGTGTGACATTTACATGTGAACCGCAGCTTGCAGTAGTTCCGCTTGTGCTCCAACAGCTCCCCGAGTTCCGTGAACATCTCCCTGCAGTTGCCGCAGATCAGTATATCTGGATTGCCTACGACATACCTTCAATTAAACCCAGCCTTCATTGCTCGACAAGGCTTGGGACCGTGTTACGAGGCGGTAACTTATAAACTTAGAGAATAACCATTGCATCATAATAACAGAAACATTAACTAGTCACAGTTGGAATATGTATTCATTTTTCAACGGAACAATTGTTGCACTGGGGTAACTGAATTTATCGGCGCGTCTTACTAGATCCAAACATTCGATTTTAAAAGTAAAGAAGAGGCGAAGTACGCCGCGGATAATGGAAACGTTGTATTGTCTCGAACGCGAAGACACTTACTGTACACTTTAAGTTGATTCAAGTCGGGTATCGTGCCGGTGTTTGCCGTCGATTGTTGTTTCTGTAGCTTCGGATGCTGTGCTCGTGTCGGTGGCATCAAACGCGGCCGCTTCAACGGCGGTGCTAAGCGCGGCGGAAACGCGGTCGACGCGTAGTAACTGCAAACAGAAGGATGTTGTGCAAAATACATTAGTGTATACATTACGTCAGATTTTGTGTGCACTTACACACCACACACACACACATACACGCACACACAATCTCTCTTACAGCTAGATGTCTTTCAGTTTGTTGTTACTCGCTCTTTATACTTTGTATTCTAATAATATATGTCTATTCTTCTCTTTGATGTTTTACAATTAAATAAGAGTCCATGATACTCCACATTGACGGCTTCGCAAATGAACAACTGTATAAGCTGCTCTGCAAACGAGAGCATTTCCTTGAATACATTTGGGTACACGGTGGAATAAATGTGCGGCATTAAATGCATTTTACAGAATCGCGAGATCCCGCAACAAAAACTTCTTTAAAAGACTTCCCTTTGTCGCGGTGTGTAACACACCGCAGTGGTGTTGCATGTCATTTTTATTTCGTTATTTTATTTTGAAGGAAAAAACTGTAATTCCTCTTATAACACTTCGCTTTTCTCCCCCCCCCTTCTCCCCGCCGCACTTTATTTAAATAAGGAAAGTGTGAACAAATTGTAGTCTCTTACAAAGCAATCGGATAAAAATTAATATTTAAATGTTATCTCCCTGAAATAATTGTATAATTAACAAATTGCGACATGTATAACATAGCGTATAAAATAATGATGTGCGTTTGTAACGCTTCTATAATACAATGTTTTAATTATCAAGTAAAAAATTTTGCCGGAATTGGTAGCGTCGGCTTTAAGGAAGCTAAAGCGATTGTTGCTTTAAAACTTCGAAGGTGGAAGCACGCGGTAAAATAAATTAGATTTGAATAATTCAGGATGTATCCGGTAATGCGGTTCTCGCGAATTAAGATCGAATTACCTCGGGATTTTTCCTCCGATGGTATCACTTTGCGGGTCAGACAAAATGCATATTCGAGAGGGAGAATCGATATTTCGAGCATAATAAAAATGTAAAAACGTCATGTTAATTACACCGAGTAATAATTGAAATCGTTTTTTTGGAAGAGTTTCGTAAATCGTTCCCTCAGCGAACGATCTTCTGGGGCAGAGCGTGATGATAATTATTCTATTATAATACAATAATAGAGCGGTACGCTCATAGTCCATTAGCCGCAATCGGTGAACGGTAACGAGGGCATATGATATTCTTATTGCGACATGCAAAATATGAATATCGAGGGCCATATTATAGCGAGTGAATTTTGCTCGAACGGATTTTGCTTTACGGGAACACAATGCGGAATATACACGTGCAATTTTATGATGTCGAAACTGCCGCTTGCCATAAATACCGGAGATGCAAGCTTGCAAATTGCCTCTGTTTGCGCTCCTTTTTACTATGAGGCGTACGCGTTTTCGTGTACCCTTGATTGGATTCACGACACCCGAAATACATACAGTTTTGAAAAATTCCTCTCCCCAGGGAAAGAGGGAACGCCGCCGCGTCGTCTTTTTTTCAAAGTTGACAAAAATCGCGCGCACTTTTCTACAGAAATTTAGGGCGACTTAATTTCTCTATCGACGGCGAGTACGCGAGGATTAAAATCTTTACTGCAGTTTATTCTCAGATTACATCTTCTTTTTTATCCTCTCTTTGCGTTATACTTTATTTTCTGCTCGTTTCACCATCAATCACGCCGTGATGTAGGTATATTTAACCGCTAAATATAAAATTGTCGATATGAGACTCATCGCTCATTCGATCTCGCGTATGCATGTCACACGATTACACAATGTGCTTGTGAGATATTTCGTCTTTTAAATACTTATATTAAAACACGATCCATAAAGTACGATCTGTCGTTTTATATTAAAAAGTATCAAAACTGTTCGTCATAAACGAGAACTTATGTAAAAGCTCTTGTGACGAACTTACAGATCGCGCGAATAAATGAAAGGAAAAAAAGATGTATACGCATTTCTTTAAAAGACATTTTTATCGTTGACCTTCTCGTTTATGCGTGAGGCGATGAGGCAGCGTCTCGTGACATTAAGTACGTAATGAATAGGAATCGGAAGTCGCTTCGCTGCGACGTATTTGCTGAAATCAGATATACACGCTACTATGTACGTAAAGCAATTCAGTTATATCACAACAACGCACAGGAAAGTAATCGATATCTAGTTCTCTATTGTTATTGTTGTATCGGTTTCACAGCCGATCTCAACGCCTCCCACGCATACAACGGTAAAGTCTAAATTCTGACAATAAAAATATCATGTTACTGACATATGCCAATGCTCGCGTCGTTGTTATCGGGCACTGCCGATCCCTGTACGCTGGAAATTTTTAACATTTGATTTCCCGGTGAAAATCAAACGAAATGAAAATCTCAAAAAATTAAAAATGTCATCGGAAATCTGACAGCGCACTTTTATGGCGTACTACAAAATTTTATTATTTCGACTTTACGCTGTATCGTTTTGCACATTTGATTCTAAGCTTCACTTTGCGGTTCATGTACATTTGTCAGATTTTAATCAACTTTCGTGTATACATTGTAGGATTTTTCCATTCTCTCTTGTGACGGCTGAGACACGTAACAAACCATTTCTGATAGTCTCGCGGACAGAAACGAAGGTGTTATTGAAGGATTAAGCCGGTTAAAGGGGAGTGCGCGAATTCGTGCCTCCTTGCCGTTGTTAAAAGTTCTTTGAAAACGAGTTTCGCTCTCTTCCTCGCAGTCGCGAATAATAGCAGAGGGTCGCGACAGGCGAATGATCGGGAAGAGATGGGGAAAAGACTTACGAGGCATCATCTTCGACGTTGTTCGAGATCCTTCGTCCTTCGTGTGTTTCGACAGTTTTAACACTTGCCCAAGGACCATCCAATTATCAGCCAAGTCAGCTGTTCCCTCACCAGCGGGGGTCACTCTATCTTTATAGGAGCAACTTCTCACTTTTCTAAATTATTTTCAGACGTCACGAACATATTTAAATGAACATTCGCCGATCAAGCGCGCGCCGATCAATCTACGAAATTGGAGATAAAAAAAAACTGTTTTACCGTGGTACGTGTAATAATAAACTGGACAGACGTTTTTAAATTTTCTAGTTGAATTTAATTTTCCAATTGAATCTAATTTCAATTTGCGCGGAAAATTTTAGAAGCCTTAAATAATTTTCTCGCGGTCTTCCAAATCGGATAAATGTCGAGTCGATTGGCAATAAATCTAGGTCATTCGTGTATGTATAAGTCCAGTTTCATCAACGTCACCACGCCAGATATCTGTCCATTTTGAGTAAGTACGGCTTCTAATTGCCGTAATAGACGTAAGTAGGTTAGCATCGACATGCTAGATTATTCTTACATACATGAGTAATTCCTACCATCTCGAATCCCCTAGCACGACGGAATAATATACTGTAATTAAATTTACCCCTTTGCTCGAATCGCAAAGTAGATGCCCGTGAATGCATACTCGCATACAAAAATTTCGGGACGCTACGCGAGCATCCAATCTCCCCGTATATAATATTCCATGTTATTTTAGATTCCATACTGTTTAATCGAGCGCGCTCAATCTCGGGCCCGGGGACGACGTGCCCGCCGAAAAACGACGCCGACGCCGACGCCACGGCCGTCCACGTCGTCGCGTCTCCACTTTATACGCGGCCGGCTCTCGGATATGCATGTATTCAGATTAGACAACGCGGAGGGAGAATTTGTCGGATAAATTCAGCCGGGGGTAGTTGGCCGGGGTCCGCCGGCTCGCGCTCCCTCTAACACACTGGATTTCATTAAAATTCATTCGGCGCGGCAAGCTGTCACACGCGCCGCGGATGTACAGACCGACGAGCGAGCTAATAGGCTTACCGTGTTACTACAAAAGGCGCCGAGCCCCTTCTCCCACTTGAGCGGATTGTACGCCGCGGCAATATAAATTAAATATAAATAATGTACACCATGTAAATTGAATTAGATGACGCGTGTCCGCACGCGGTCGCAAATGCCCCTTACACGTGTACATCCGCTGGAAACGTAAACGATCGTTAAAGCGGGGGGGTATTTGCTCGTCGCGCGGAGTCGAGAGAATTAGCATAGCTTGAGCGAATCGAAGGAACAAAGCGTCAGAATGCCAAGGTAATTCGCGGATCCCAAAGTTCCTTGACACCACAATTCCGCGGGTTTAACAATTCGATCGCGCGTCGCGAGTAGCGGCGGCGGCGCCATTGTTCCTTATTCCTTAATTTTTCCAGCCGATCTAACGTCGATGAATCATGCATTTTTTATCAGAGCGCGTCAAGACATCGTCACAATGTACGCCCGGCGCGGACAAAACCAGCCGGCCATATTTTACTATCGCAAGTATCACGATTTCCGCTCATCCCCTCGAAGCCATAAATAATATTTCTGTCGGTGGCCAGGTCGGCGTTTTCCCGCAATTATTGCGTCTCTCATAACCGACGTCATAATTCTATACCATAACGAGGCCATTCGTAACCCTCCACAATTCCCCCCCTCCCCTCCCCTCCTCCTTCTCCTCCTTCCCCGCTATATCCACTCTTCCACTTCATTCTGACATTTTTTTACGCTCGCGCGACCTTTTACGGATGACGGCAACTAATGGCGGCGTTGCAACAAATACGTGGCGAGGCGATAAATAAATATAATAGCGGCGGCATGATAACGGCAATAATGACAAACGCATTGTGAAATCGCCGAGAATTATCTCGTTCGTTATTTATAAACGGTTGCACATTGCGAGTAACTTCGCGCGATGTCAACGTTGTCCCGGCTAACTTTCGACGGATCGAAATACCCGTGTTTGAAGAATTAATGCAATCTTATTAAGACAGTAGAATACGCGAAATAGCGCCTCCCTCCCTCTCTCGCGGCGATCCATTTTAATTTCGCCGTTAAATTTCATTTAAAAGGACGAACATTCTCCAATCTAAATTTAAACTCAGCCGGGGAAATCCGGGCAAAACGAAGAATTCCGGCGGGACGGACAACAGTGACGTTCGAAGACGAGCCTAAAGAAGGTCGGCCAA